TGGCAGCAGATGCAGCAGTAGTAGCCGACTCAGCAGCTGCAGTCCTCCCATTCATTTTCCACTCCTCCCTCCTCGAGGACTCCCATGAGGAGTTCCTCAACCTCCACCTGCATGATCCAGCCCTCCTACCCATCTCCCCTGACCTCAGCGGCACACCAGTCTTCGCCCTCTCCTCCGCCCCCACCATCTTCGTCCCCGCCACGTACAAGGAGGCCATGGCGTGCCCTGACGCTCACCTCTGGCTCGCGGCCATCCTCAAGGAGTTGGAGGCGTTTATTGCCAACTCCTCATTTGTGGATGTGCCCCGCCCTCCCTCTACCACGAACGTGGTCAAAGGGAAGTGGGTGTTTCGGGTGAAGCAGCTTCCTGGCGAGCCGCCGGTCTACAAGGCCCGCTACGTCGCCAAGGGCTTCACCTAGCGCTACGCTGTCGATTTCTTCGACACCTTCTCTCCCACCGCCAAGCCCGCTACCATTCGCGCAGTCCTCGACCTCGCCGCTCGCTTCAACATGGAGATTCACTCCATGGACGTCTCCAACGCATTCCTCCAGGGGGTCTTGCGCGAGCTCATTTACATGGAGCGTCCTGCAGGCTTCCACCTCCCCTTTCCTTCCGACTCTGTCTGGCAGCTGCGTCGGCCGGTCTATGGGCTCAAGCAGGCACCAAGGGAGTGGCATGCCAAGCTTGCTGCCACCCTCGCCGAGCTTGGCTTCAGCACCTCCCGCGCCTACCCCAGCCTCTTCCTCCGCACCTCCCCCTCCCCCTGCTACATCCTCGTCTATGTCGACGATATGATCCTCATCCGTGCCGACTCCGCCGAGCTCGAGCGCGTCAAGCGTGAGCTTGGCAGCCGGCTCAAGTGTAAGGATCTAGGAGAGCTGCAGCACTATCTCGGCATGGAGATTACCCGCGACCGTGCTGCTCGCACCATCTCCCTCTCCCATGGCCACTTCCTGCAGCAGGTCCTGGAGCGGTTCGACATGGCTCGAGGCACCCCTCAGGTCACCCCTCTTCCTGTTGGGCACCACCTCACTCCCCTCACCTCCCCCTCTTCCTCCTCCCACCCCTACGTTGAGCTCATCGGCTCTCTCATGTATGCCATGGTCTCCACCCGCCCTGACCTGGCATACCCCATCAGTGTTTTGGCCCGCTTCGTTGGTACCGGCAAGCATGATGCCGTCCACTGGGAAGCGGCCAAGCGTGTCCTCCGCTACCTTCAAGGGACCAAGGACTACGTCCTTACCCTTGGCGGCCCTCCCCTCCCCTCCTCACTGGCTACTCTGATTCCTCCTGGGCTGACTCTAGGCCTGACCGCCGCTCCTCTCAGGGATATGGCTTCTCTCTTGGCAGCGGCCTCATCAGCTGGTGCTCCACCCGCTCCTCCTCCATTGCCCTTTCCTCCTGCGAAGCAGAGCTGTATGCCGCTACCATGGCTGCGCAGGAGGCCCGCTGGCTCTCCTTCCTTCTTGAGGAGCTTGGTGCCCCTCAGCGCTGTCCCACCATCTGGTGCGACAACGCCAGCACCATCCACCTCACGAAGGATGCTGTGTTCCACGGGCGCTCCAAGCACATTGAGCTTCGCCACTACTTCATTCACGAGCTTGTGCAGGGTGGCCACCTCCAGTTGGGCAAGATTGACTCTGCTGCTAATCTTGCCGACATCTTCACCAAAGCCCTCCCCCACGCCGCCCACTCATCCCTCCTTCGCCTTCTTGGCCTCGCTCCCCCCGTTCCCTCATCCGCCTCCTGATTCAAGCCCTCTAGTCTTATGCATGTTGGGGGGTTGTGTTGTAAAATATATATCTATACAACATGCATGCCTAGATTAGGAGGTGCATTCATTATAATTATTGGGGGGTTGTTGGTTGGGTTGACCAACCCCACATTTGGGTTGGTCAAGATTGGATTTGGTCCTAGACATTTGGGTGGCACTATTCCAACCAATTGGTCCTTGGTCCTAGGAACCAACCAATCACCAAGCACTACACTTTGTGGTTGCTTGCCTTCCAAGCAATCTCTCTCATTGGTCCACATTGTGGCCAATCGGAGATGACAACACTTTGTGGTTACTTGCCCTACAAGCAACCTCTCCCATTTGTCCACTTTATGGCCAATAGGAAAGCTTCTCTTCCAACTCTTCTTTGCTCCTTGTTTTGTACAAAAGAGCCTCTTGGCTCTCTACTCAACTCAATCTTTTCTCTTCCAGGCTACTTCCTTCACAAGGCGCATGAGCGCTCGCGCAGCACAGGCGGGCTTGTTGGGGTGCTTGAAGCATGCGGCAGCGCTCGCCCTTTCATCCCTCGTTCCCTCTCCCCCCTTCCACAGTGCCGCCATCGTAACGGACCAGCGCTCGCTCAGCACGGACGTGCTGCTCAGGGTGCTCAAGCACACTGCCGCCCTCCTCCATTCCGTCGCCTCCTTTTCCTCTCTGCTCCTCTTATCTCCTCCCCCCCCACAGCGCCATCATTATGGACGAGGCTCACGAGCGGTCGCTCAACACGGACGTGCTGTTCGGAGTGCTCAAGCACGTGGCTGCCAGGAGGAGGGACTTCAAGCTCATTGTCACCTCCGCCACTCTGAACGCCGAGAAATTCTCGCACTTCTTTGGCAGGTATGTGCAAACGCAGGTAGCCGTTTGCTTAGAGGTGTATGTAAGAACACTCAGCTGGCATTTGCATGAGCTGGCAGGAAGCTGCATAGTTCAGCACCAAAGGGGTTTCTCCATTCACCTTCCCTCTCACCGCGCATCCATCAGAACAACCCTGCCATGCATGCATGGCGTTTGCTCAATTCGACCCTTAACGCGTTTATTCCAACATAGGTTCCCATCCCAGTGAGCAAGCAAGTCGCCCTGTGAATACCCAGTGGATGCAGCAGTGACCAAACTCTCTCTCTCTTGTCCCGCTCTCTACTCCCCTCACCCCCCTCTTCAATTCCCCTCCCTTCCAGCGTGCCTGTCTTCTTCATCCCCGGTCGCACCTTCCCCGTGAGCATCATGTGGAGCAAGTCGCCCTGCGAGGACCCAGTAGACGCCGCAGTGAAGCAGGCGCTGGCCATCCACGTCACCATGCCACCTGGCGACATCCTCATCTTCATGACTGGACAAGAAGACATCGAGGCCACGTGCTTCTCCCTCGCCGACCGCCTCGAGCAGATGGCGGCCGGCGCCGCCCGCCCCCCGCCGCCCCTCTCGATCCTTCCCATCTACTCGCAACTCCCCGCGGATCTCCAAGCGAAGATCTTCCAGAAAGCAGAGGAGGGCACGCGGAAATGCATCGTCGCAACGAACATTGCCGAGACGTCGCTGACTGTGGACGGAATATTATACGTCATCGACGGCGGGTACAGTAAAATTAAGGTGTATAACCCACGGATGGGTATGGACGCACTGCAGGTGTTCCCCATCAGCCGGGCCGCAGCAGACCAGAGGTCCGGCCGAGCCGGGAGGACAGGCCCAGGAACATGCTACCGGCTCTACACAGAAACCGCATACGCGAATGAGATGCTGGCGAATCCGGTGCCGGAGATCCAGCGCACGAACCTGGGGAACGTAGTGCTGCTGCTCAAGTCGCTCAACATCGACAACCTGCTGGACTTTGACTTCCTGGACCCCCCCCCGCAGGAGAACATCCTCAACTCCATGTACCAGCTGTGGATCCTGGGCGCGCTGGACAACACGGGGGCTCTCACCAAGACCGGGCGGAGAATGGTGGAGTTCCCTTTGGATCCTGCTCTTGCGAAGCTGTTGATCTCGGGAGACCAGTTTGGGTGTGTGAACGAGACGCTCACTATGGTCGCCATGCTGTCGGTGCCGTCGGTTTTCTTCCGCCCGAAAGACCGAGAGGAGGAGTCCGACGCTGCCCGGGAGAAGTTTTTCGTGCCCGAGAGCGACCACCTGACGCTGCTGAACGTGTTCCAGCAGTGGAAGTCCAACGGGTACCGCGGCGACTGGTGCTCCGACCACTACCTCCACGTGAAGGGCCTCCGGAAGGCCCGCGAGGTGCGGGCGCAGCTGGCGGACATCCTGAAGCAGCAGAAGATCCCCCTCTCCAGCGCCGGGCAGGACTGGGACGTGGTGCGGCGGGCCATCTGCACCGCCTACTTCCACCACGCCGCGAAGCTGAAAGGCGTTGGGGAGTACGCGAGCTGCCGCACCGGCACCCCGTGCCACCTCCACCCGACCAGCGCGCTCTACGGGCTCGGCACCACCCCGGAGTACGTGGTCTACCACGAGCTGGTGCTGACTTCCAAGGAGTACATGCAGTGCGTCACGGCCGTTGAGCCGCGCTGGCTGGCTGAGGCGGGCCCCATGTTCTTCAGCGTGAAGGACAGCCACCAGAGCCGGCTGCAGCAGAAGCAGAAGCTCAAGGAGGAGGCGAGCGCCATGGAGAGAGAAATGGCGGAGGCGCGGCGCAAGAGGGAGGTGGAGGAAGAGATGAGAAGGAGGAAGGATGAGGAGCAGACGGCAAGGGAGGCGGAGAGGATTGTGATGCCGGGCGTGAAGAAAGGGAAAGGGGCGGCGGGGAGACGTGCTGGGCTCTAGTGTGTGGGCTCAGCTAAGCTCTATCCTTGGTAGAGAGGGGGGGTGGGTATTACTACTCTACGGGTGGGGGGGTGGAGGGATTGGGGGTGGGGTGGGGATTGGGTGGGGGGTTGGGTGTTGGCATTGGGAAGGAGGACCTTGTTCTCACACGTTGGTGTTTGGTTTGGCTTCTTTTGGTTCACTTCTCATGTAACGTGTTCCAACTTTGAAGGCCATTGTCGTCTCTGGTCCAAAATTGTGTGACAGTGGCACATTCTACATGCAAACAAAGCGTGCATGCTAAAGAAGCGATAGAATCTGTTGACAACCAGAACTGGAAGATGCACGTCATCTTACATTTTAGTTGCAATATGTAAGGTGTATACAAAAAGTTGCGTGCACCCAAGTACGAGGTCTGTCAATATCAGACATGCGTTCAGCCGCAATCCAGCCCCGCAGATATTTGCCACATCCTCACACAACCTCTCCGCGTTTCCCGCCAATTTTATCAATACCGGAATCTTCACTCGCCATGCCTCCCGTGGATCCCTACGCGTGGCCGTCGCGCCGCTCGCCCATACTCGCCACGCGTGGCATGGTTGCCTCGTCGCAGCCGCTCGCCAGCGAGGCCGGCCTCCGCATTCTGCGGGCCGGCGGCAACGCGGCGGATGCGGCGGTGGCCATGGCGGCGGCCCTTGCGGTGTGCGAGCCGTGCAGCACGGGGCTAGGTGCGTGCAGCACGGGGCTAGGTGGGAGTGATTTTCGCTGATACAATCTGCACAATCACTAGAATAGACACGGAACGATTGCGATCAGTACGTAACTGTCGCGGAGGTGCCAGCCGTGCAGCTCTGTACTGTAGTGGGTGAGATTCGATTGTTTCTCCGCCGGATCCTGCTTGCTCGACCTCGCCACTTATTTCCCCGCAATGCTGTGCGCCATGCGCCCATGCGCCCATGCGCCCATGCGCCCATGCGCCCCTATCAAGCAGGCGGCGACGCCTTCCTCCTCTTCTACCGCGCCTCAACGCGCGCGGTCCACAGCATTCAGGGCAACGGCCGCTGCCCCGCCGCGCTCTCCCTCGCGCACCTCGCGTCCCTCGGCTTCTCCCCCTCCCGCCCGCTCCCCCCCTTCGACCCCCTCACTGTCACCGTCCCCGGCGCCGCGGCCTGTTGGGCCGACGCCATCCAACGGTTTGGATCGCGCCACGTGTCGCTTAAAGAGGCGCTTGAGCCCGCCATACAGCTGGCAGAAGGAGGTTGGCCGGTGCCACCATTGACAGCCGGCCAATGGGAGAGAGGCGTGGAGCAGGTGGGGTGTGGGCTAGTAAGGTGCTTCCTGTCTTCCCTTTTCCGCCGTTTTAGTCTGTGGGCTTTGGGCTTTGGTCGCCACAAACTGTTTTAGTCTGTGGGCTTTGGTCGCCACAAACAGTTGCTTGTTGACGCTCGATGACCTGCTTACTGGTTGCTTTGCACTCATGTGTGCCCAAAATACGCCCTCTCCCCACGTGTCAGCTGAAGCAGGGAGGGCCACATGGCGGAGAGCTATTGGTGGATGGGGAGAGAGCCCCTAGAGCTGGCGAGGTGATGAGGAACCCGGGCATGGCCAGCACGCTGAGGTTGCTGGGAGGTGCGTCGCTCTGCTTGCATGCTAGTCTCGGTTTTGGACGAGAGTGCGGGGAGGTGAGCCAATTTGCTTTTATCCCTCTATCCCGTCCATCCATCCATCCATCCATCCATCCATCCATCCATCCATCCATCCATCCATCCATCCATCCATCCATCCATCCATCCATCCATCCATCCAAATCTCTCTCTTTTTAAACACCAGAGAAGGGAAGGCAGGGGTTCTATGGCCGAGGCCATACTCTTGTCAGTGCAGCCCCAGGGCGGCCTGCTCTCCCTGCAAGACCTCGCCTCACAGGCCTCGTCCTTCGCCCCCCCCCCATCTCCACCAGCTGGCAAGGGAAAGAGACCACTCCCCAATCCCAATCACTCTTCGTCTTCATCTGTTCTCTCCCCCACACTCTTCCCTCCACCAGATCAGGGCAAGCAAGGGTTTTACACGGGCCCAGTGGCCGAAGCCATAGTGGCAGCAGTGCAGTCCCAAGGCGGCCTGCTCTCTTTGGAAGACCTCGCCTCCCACACCTCCTCCTTCGCCCCCCCATCTGCACCACCTTCCGAGGCCTCACCATCTGGGAAGTGCCCCCCCCCACGCATGGCGTAGCCGCCCTCATCGCACTCAACATCACCGAGGCTTTCTATGCAGCGAACGGGATTCCCGGGGCTGCGGACAAGGCTCGGGGAACGGGGTCCGAAGCTGCGGGCGAGGGTCGGGAGGGAGAATGGGGCACGGCGGACCAGGTGCATGTGATGATTGAGGCCATGCGGATGGGGTTTGCCGATGCGCTGGCATGTGTCGCCGACCCAGAGCACGTGCAGGTACCCCTGGGGAAGGCATTATCCAAGGAGTACGCAAAGAAACGAGCCGGGGAAATAGATCTGAAACGGGCTGGGGCTGTGGAACCCGGGATTGAGCCAGGATCAGCCGAAGGAGCAGAGAAAGCAGGGGAGAAGAAGGGGGTGGATCGGTGGGGAGAGGTTGGGACAGATACAGTGTACTTTTGTGCGGTGGATGGCGAGGGCAATGCGTGCAGCATGATCAACTCCAACTACATGGGCTTCGGCACGGGCATCGTCCCCAAGGGGTGCGGCTTCCCTCTGCAGAACCGCGGGCACAACTTCTCCCTGGACCCCAACCACCCCAACTGCCTGGCGCCAGGCAAGCGCCCCTACCACACCATCATCCCCGGCCTTGCCACCTGGGGTGATACCCCCTCGCCTCCCCCTGCCTCTGCCTCTACCTCTGCCTCTGCCTCTGCCTCTGCCTCTGCCTCTGCCTCTGCCTCTGCCTCTGCCTCTGCCTCTGCCTCTGCCTCTGCCTCTGCCTCTGCCTCTGCCTCTACCTCTGCCTCTGCCGCCGCCGATGCACCTGCCGCCGCCGATGCGTCTGCCGCCGCCGAGGCAGGGGCAGAAGCAGAGGCCAGAGGCGATGCAGGGGTCCCAGCAGGCGAGCTGCACTGCACGTTTGGAGTGATGGGTGGATTCATGCAACCCCAGGGCCACCTGCAGGTCGTCACCAACCTCGCCCTCTTCTCGCTCCACGCCCAGGCCGCCCTCGATCGCCCCCGCTTCTGCCTCTCCGGCCTCCCTTCCCTAGAACCGCCTGGGCACGGGCCCGGGCCAATGAGGGAGAGCCACGTGGCGATAGAAGAGGGGCCGGGGATGGAGGAGGTGGCACGAGAGTTGCGGAGGAGGGGGCATGTGTTGGAGGTGGTGGGGGGGGAGGGGAGAGAGGTGTTTGGAAAGGGGCAGGTGATCGTGAGGGAGCGAGGGAGTGGGGTGCTGTGGGGGGGGTCGGAGGGACGGGCGGATGGGTGTGCCATGGGGTTTTGAAGGTGGTACAGTAGATTACGAGTTCCGTTTGCTTAAGTACGGAGTGTTGCAATCAAATTGTAGCAGCATTATCTTCACTTTTATTCCCATTGGGTCTGGAGCAGTCAATGTCAACATATATATGTTATAGGTTAGCCAGGTGCATGCTCATATAGAGTGCAACCCCTTAGGTTATATTCCCTTGTACCACCTCATTCTAGTCACTTGTTCTATGCTAAGATGGTACCGTAATCCCCCGTTTATAACACACTATGGTGTGTTGGAAATACCTCTAGAACTTAAGCGTTTCTGAAGTATAACACTACACTCAAAATGTCGTATCGAGTACACGAGTCAACGGAGGTTACACGAGGAGGTTGGACGAAAGAACACGAACGAAGGGACTCGAAGGGTTGCAACCGGAGGTTGCGACCGACCGTTGCGACTGCAAGGATGGTAACCGAACCAACGATCGAGTTGCTGTGCGACTCGATAACCGTTTCTTCAACTGTATTCTACAAACTGCTCTATTTCCTATTCTCTAAATATTCCTGTATGCTTGTCCTTTTTAATCAATCACTTGCTCTCACATACTAGTGCAAGGGTTCAGCTACTTAACTCTTCCGCTGCACTACTCAAGCATTTCATACAAGTGGGACTTAGTCTCTGAAAGGATCCTAGGGCTTTTCTCAGCCCAACATGGTATGAGAGCTGGTCAGAAACCAAACTCTCATCAACGACATTCTATCTACAGTCAGCACATCAAAACTTCATCGATTACAACTCATGGACAACAAGGGCAAGAAGTCTTCTACGGGCTCACCCAGCGGCCAAGATACTCAACCCGGCATCTCTGGACTACACACTTGAGGACTACAAACTGAGACCGGCGCTGCTCAAGAAACAACAGGAAGAGTAGGTACCAAAAATGGTGACCCCTTCACCCTCTTCAGGCGTGGACCCAACCTTATGGAAAGGTTCTTCATCTTCATGTCGCACTTTGACCAACAGCAGCAGTCAAGGACACCTGTGCATTCAACACAGAGCAACGGGGGAAATATGGGATTAGCACCAATGAGTCTCGACAACTCATCATTCGGGCGGCACAAGCAGGTGCCTACCTTTGCGCCTTATTATTCTTCACCAGGGACCTTCGAGTTCATGCCGCCCCGTGCTCAACCGACCGCAGCTGCATCACAGCAGACACCAAACGAGATATTGAGTCTCCAGGCGCAGTTCTCACATGTGATCAAACTGCAGACATCCTCATCGTTCAATGGGCATGACTTCTTTACCTGGAGTTTTGAGTTCGAGCTGCTGATGGAGGCCGCGCACCTCTTGGGATACTTTAGCGGGTCCCTGCCATTTCCAAGCAATGGCACTGCAAAGGAGCAAGAGATCTTTACTTATCAGTCCCTGCTGGCGTACACAGTTCTCTTACGCAATCTGTCACCACAAGAACAACAGAGCATCAGAACGTATCGGAGCTACGGAAACTCCGCGGAGCTCGCCTGGCATCATCCGAAGTGTCCTTATCAAGCAAACGACAGCGTGACACAAAGCAGACTCATGCAGCAGTTGACAACAATACAAATGAAGACGGGGGAAAAGGCGATGCAGTATATGAGTCGCTGCCAGACACTCCGCGACCGCCTGCTTCGGTGCGGAGGTACAATCACTGAGGAAAGTTTCGTGACACTTGTTCTCGCCGGGCTCGGACAAGAATGGAGAACCACCCTCTCGCTCCTTCGTGCCCACGGACGAATTTCCGAGATGCATCTCTGCGACGAGCTTCATGCCGAACAACAGGAGATGGACCTGTTTGAAGAAAGACAACCAAGGAACAAGCAGCAACCATTAGTCTTCTTTACTCATTGAAGAAACGACAACAACTACAACTGGCGTGATAAGCACACCCGACACGACACCAGAGGACTCACCATCGTGCCGTCGTTCTGCCACAACTGTCAGACATCGGGGCACTCCAAAGTTGATTGCACACGCCCTCGAGTTTATCGTCCGGCAAACCCGCAAGTCACCTCCACTCAAGAGAATCCGCCGAGTCGCTCCTCTACACCTGCACAAAGCCCACTGAACATCATTAACTGCATGGTGCACATCGACAACTGCACACCAGGATCACCACCCACTTACGCTCCAGACGAAAGAGCTGCCGCCGCCACGCTCACAAGGTCTCCAGGTCAACCCGACATACGCTGCAATCGCCAACGCCGAACCCACCGGACGAAACACCTGGTTCTTGAACAGCTGCTTCGGCCAACATATGTGTTCTTCCGGGCGCTTCGTGCAACGAGAGCGACGCCTCAACCGCGATGTCATCATCACCGTCGCCAAGAACGAGAACCTGAAAACAAACAGACAAGGCGTCGTTCAGCTTCAGTCAATGGAGACAAACGTCATACTACAACTCAACAAATTACTCATCGTCGACAACTTGGGATACAATCTACTAAGCGTTAGCCTGTTAATGGCGAAGGGTATTCAGCTGGAATGCGATTCGGACGACAACGAGTTTCGTCTCTACCACGGGAAGGGCGGTCTCTTCATCGGTCGTGCTCTTCTGAAGTCGGGCGTCTTCGTTCTGGATTTCGTCCCCGACCGCGGTACTGCCGACAGCAATGGCATCGTGTCGTTTGCCGCCTGGACGCACCCGCCAGATCTTGACCCCGCCCTTAACCTAGATGGCTTATGGCACTCCAACACCATCCCTGCAGCAGAACGAACACGGGCATTAGCAGTCATCCACCAAGAACGACAAGTACCGGCAACCATCCCTCCTCCAACATCACCTGCAGTAGTAGCAGCAGGACCCAGCCGTATGCCATCACCAGCAATCCGAGGACCGCCATCCGAAGGAGATCAATTCACGCCCGTCACCCGAGGAGTCTGCTGCAGTCCCGCCACGGTCGTCGCGTCCTTCTCCAACGCCGATGTATACCAGCGCTCACCCGGCCATCGCGCTCCCGACGACATCTGGCATCTGTTATAGTCACAATAGGCCCAGATGTGCCAATAATGAGAGATAAAGAGCACAGTCGGATTTCCGTCAGACGGCTTCAAATATTGATAACGATCTGCTCGCTGAATTAAATGGTGATATGTAAGTTGGATCTAGAGCGCGGTGCTGTCGTCTATCAGCAGCAAGTTGAATCATGAAATTCCATGAAGATTTGACGATGCTATGACGGTTTGACTGGCAAGAGGTACAGCAGCCACTATAGTCTTAGGAGTACAAAAAACTTAGGAAGAAGAAGTTGAGAGGGAGATGGTTCCCAGCCTCTACATACCCCAAGAGCCAAGGTCCAGGTTGGTGGTACACCACCACAGGGTCCCCAACCACGAAGAATCTCGAAACCAACCCTCCAAGGGGCTACACCAAGTGAAATGTAACACTAGACGAAGTAGCGTTACTATTTCCACTATTTAATATTTATCCGCGTCCTTTGGGCTTGAAATCTTGAGCTCTTGGTCTTGGTTCTGCAAGATAAATTCTTCTTGAGTTGATGGGGGCTTGCTGCACACACCTGCGACGCGATGGACACTTCACACTCGACAAAATAGAAAAAACACATGCGACACACAAACGACGACTTGTCATGCGAGTTGTAAAAACTCGCTAATGTCTTGACCGACACAAACCACATTGTGATACACCATTCAAACACACACACAAGCACTGGATAGCAATGACATAGACTCACAATTCATTCCATGCCATGCATGCATACACACAAACAAGGACGACAAGCCGAGTGCAAGCCATAGGGTTGCACCAACAAACTCCCCCTCGGATTGTTGGCCTTTTAATCTGCTCCTCTTAGTTCAGAGCCATCCCAGCAAGCTTGCAACACTTCCAATGCTGCTGCTCAACGAGCCTCTTGGTCATCATATCAGCTGGCTGCGCCGTCGTCTTCACGTAGTGCAACTCCACTTTACCCGCGGTTACCATGCTCCTCACCCAATGCCACTTCACCTTCATGTGCTTGGTAAGGCCATGAAGTATGGGATTCTTTGCCAATGCAATAGCACCTTGGCTATCACAGTAGATTGGGGTAGGTCCTTGCTGCTCCTCCCCCAATTCAGCTAGCAAACGCCGCTGCCACACAACCTCTCTTATGGCATGGAAGAGTGCCATGTACTCGGACTCCACCGAGCTCAATGCTTGGTCCACTTGTTTCTTGCTCTCCCAAGCTGTTGGTCCTCCACCAACACAGCAGATGAAGCCTCCCACATTTGTCATGTCCTCTGGTTCTGATGCCCAAGATGCATCAGAGAAGGCGGTGAGAAAGAGCCTCCCGTGTTCGACTCCATCCGCACCCTTTTGACGCATTTGTGCCGCCGCGGAGTATTGCAGTCCAACAGTTGCTGTTTGGCCAAGGTACTTGGCCACCCTCTCTCCAGCTGCTACCTGCTCTTCATTAGGGCATTGGACAACCCTAGCCAGCTGCCCGGTAGCAAAGGCCGCATCCGGCCTTGTATGAACGGCCGCATACATGAGGCTGCCCACCAAGGAGTGAAAACGCCGCCTCTCCTCTTCACCAACACTTTCCTCCGCTGGTCCTTTCACACACTTGAACCCTGAGGGAAGAGGAGTAGCCACATGACCTTCACTCTTCCCAAAGTTTGCAGCCAAGACCTCCAAGTACTTCCTTTGATGCACTCGCATCCACCGCTTTTCCACATCTCGCTCAATGTGAAGCCCAAGGTAGTAGTTGACATCACCAAGGGTCTTGCACTTGAACTTGTCTTGAAGATTCAGCATCACCTCCTTCACAAGGTCAGAGGAGGGTGAGAATATGAGGATGTCATCCACATAAACCACCATGAAGCTCCTCTGCTCCCCCTCGCCAAGCATGAACAACGATTGATCGGCCGTTGAGGGAGTGAAGCCGATCGCCTCCAAAACTTCCCGCAGCTTGATGTACCATTGCCTAGGGGCTTGCTTGAGGCCATAGAGTGCTTTCTTCAACTTCCACACTCTGCCACTCCCATCATTGTACCCCTTTGGCTGCTCCATGAAGGTCTCTTCCTCCAAAACGCCGTTGAGGAAGGCCGTTACGATATCCATTTGCTTCACCACCCATCCTTTGATGGCCGCCGCGGCGAAGAGGGTTCGAAGGGTTGTACCCTTCACCACAGGGGCATACACTTCATTGTAGTCCTTCTTCTCTTGCTGCTGATACCCCTTGGCTACAAGTCTGC